AGAGAACTAAAAATATTAAGGACATTTACAAAGAAAAGTTTGATATATTTGAGGTTTGAAATAATCTGAAAATTGAAGGAGAAATGGTCAAAAGGAGGAATTTGAGAAAAAGTAATGTTGGGGGCATAGGGCATTTAAGAGGACAGTAACATCTGCAGTCACTTCAAGTTTGTGCCTTTAAGGGGGTGGAAGAGTAAAGTTTAAAATAGCAATTTGGCATTATTGTTGCTTTAGGGTAAGGAATAAGAACTATAATTAATTCTCAGGTCCACCCCTAGAAGCTAATAAATGAAGTGGCAGTGTGTTGCTGTGCTGTGTGGAATGCTTTTGGAATACGGTTCCTCCTCTACTGTTGACTAATAGGCAGAGGAGGAAGGAGTATTTCATTAGGGTTAACAACAGGGGTCCTCAAACTACGGCCCGCGGGCCACATGCGGCCCGCCGGGTGTTTTTGTCGCTGCTGTGTGCATAGGAATTTGTTCATAGTTTTTTTTTAAACTATAGTCTGGCCCTCCAATGGTCTGAGGGACAGTGAACTGGCCCCCTGTTTAAAAAGTTTGAGGACGCCTGGTTAACAACATATCTTGTTCCTATTAAAAAGTGTAGGTAATTTGGATGAGATAGAAGATGTTGATGTGGTTTTAGAAATGCTAAAATGAGTTGGCAGAAGAAAAAGTTAGATGTATACTTCTTTTAGAAATTTGAGGGCTTTTGGTTTGTCAGAAGTGCTGTTTTTAGATGGAATTTCTTTTTAAGACTTGACCAAGGCTACATTTTACTTCTATTAATTCTATAGATCTGTCTGTTAATTTAGTAGATGATAGTTGTCAGGCGAAATAGGGGAAAATTATTTTTAACAGAAGCTATGTAGGATGGGAAGTATATTGTTGACTTTTTAGATATGTTAAAGTCTCGGGTATTTTAGCCCATTAGACAAGAGGCAGAAATCTAGAAAGATATAAAGGACAGAGCAACATTTTTCAACAGAATTATTGTTCTGCTCTTTGGCTTTCCCTTTATCTTATCCCTCTGTCCCTTCCCTGTTTCCCAGAACATAGCCTTCTCCAACTTCCTGCAGAATTTAATACTTTCCCTTCAGTGTTAACACACAGTGTAGAATAAAGAAGAGTGGATTTAACCTCGGTAGCACAACCAGCACTTTCCATGCACTAACTGTGTATGTTCAGTACTATGTTTGGCTCTGGGCATACAAACATGAATGACACACAGCCCCTGTTGTGAGAAACTCACAGTAAAGCAGTCTATTGGGAGAACATCTACAATCTACAGCAGTTTATATATATACTAGAGGCCCGGTGCAC